GTGGAATCTGTGGTGATTTCCCCTTTATTGTTTTTTATTGCATCTATTTGGTTGTTCTCTCTTTTCTTTTTTATCAGTCTGGCTAGTGGTCTGTCTATTTTGTTGATCTTTTCAAAAAAACAGCTCTTGGATTTATTGACTTTTTGAAGGGTTTTTTGTGTCTCTATTTCCTTCAGTTCTGCTCTGATCTTCGTTATTTCTTGTCTTCTGCTAGGTTTTGAGTTTTTTTTTATCTTGCTCCTCTAGCTCTTTCAATTTTGACGATAGGGTGTCAATTTTGGATCTCTCCACTCTTCTCATGTGGGCACTTATTTCTATATCCTTTCCTCTAGAGACTGCTTTAAATGTGTCCCAGAGATTCTGGTATGTTGGGTCTTCATTCTCGTTGGTTTCAAAGAACTTCTTTATTTCTGCCTTCATTTCATTGTTTATCCAATCAACATTCAAGAGCCAGTGTTCAGTTGCCATGAAGCTGCGTGGTTCTGAGTTAGTTTCTGAATTCTGAGTTCTAACTTGATTGCACTATGGTCTGAGAGACTGTTTGATATGATTTCAGTTGTTTTGCGTTTGCTGAGGAGTGCTTTACTTCTAATTATGTGGTCAATTTTAGAGTAGGTGTGATGTGGTGCTGAGAAGAATGTATATTCTTTGAATTTGGGGTGGAGAGTAGTTCTGTAAATGTCTATCAGGTTTGCTTGTTCCAGGTCTGAGTTCAAGCCCTGGATATCCTTGTTAATTTTCTGTCTGGTTGGTCTGTCTAATATTGACAGTGGAATATTAAAGTCTCCCACTATTATTGTGTGGGAGTCTAAGTCTCTTTTTAAGTTTTTAAGAACTTGCCTTATATGTCTGGGTGCTCCTGTATTGGGTCCATATATATTTAGGATCGTTAGCTCTTCTTGTTGTATCCATCCTTTTACCATTATGTTATGACCTTCTTTGTCTCTTTTGATCTTTGTTGCTTTAAAGTCTATTTTATCAGAGATGAGAATTGCAACTCCTGCATTTTTTTGCTCTCCATTTGCTTGGTAAATCTTCCTCCATCCCTTTATTTTGATTGAGCCTTTGTGTATCCTTGCATGTGAGATGGGTTTCCTGGATAAAGCACACCAATGGGTTTGGTTTTTAATCCAATTTGCCAGTCTGTGTCTTTTGATTGGTGCATTTAGCCCATTTACATTTAGGGTTAATATTGTTATGTGTGAATTTGATACTGCCATTTTGATGCTAGCTAGGTGTTTTGCCCATTAGTTGATGCAGATTCTTCATTTTGTTGATGCTCTTTAGCATTTGGTAGGTTTTTGGAATGGCTGGTACTGGTTGTTCCTTTCTATGTATAGTGCTTCTTTCAGGAGGTCTTGTAGAGCAGGCCTGGTGGTGACAAAATCTCTGAGTACTTGCTTGTTTGCAAAGGATTTTATTTCTCCTTCACTTATGAAGCTCAGTTTGGCTGGATATGAAATTCTGGGTTGAAAGTTCTATTCTTTAAGGATGTTCAATATTGGCCCCCACTCTCTTCTGCTTGTAGAGTTTCTGCCGAGAGATCTGCTGTGAGTCTGATGGGCTTCCCTTTGTGGGTGACCTGACCTTTCTCTCTGGCTGCCCTTAGTATTTTCTCCTTCATTTCAACCCTGGTGAATCTGATGATTATGTGCCTTGGGGCTGCTCTTCCTGCGGAATATCTTTGTGGTGTTTTCTGTATTTCCTGGACTTGAATATTGGCCTGCCTTGCTAGGTGGGGGAAATTTTCCTGGATAATATCCTGAAGAGTATTTTCCAGCTTGGATTCATTCTCTTCGTCACATTCTGATACACCTATCAAACGTAGGTTAGGTTTCTTCACATAGTCTTGCATTTCTTGGAGACTTTGTTCATTCCTTTTTGCGCTTTTTTCTCTAATCTTGGCTTCTCATTTTATTTCATTGAGTTAATCTTCGACTTCTGATATTCTTTCTTCTTCTTGGTCAATTCAGCTGTTGAAACTTGTGCATGCTTTGTGAAGTTCTTGTGTTGTGTTTTTTAGCTCCTTCAATTCATTCCTATTCCTCTCTAAGTTGTCCATTCTTGTTATCATTTCCTCAAAAATTTTTTCAAGGTTCTTAGTTTCTTTGCATTGATTTAGAACATGTTCTTTTAGCTCACAGATGTTTCTCATTATCCACCTTCTGAAGTCTGATTCCATCATTTCTTCACACTCATTCTCCATCCAGCTTTGTTCCCTTGCTGGTGAGGAGTTTTGGTCCTTTGTAGGAGGCGAGGCGTTTTGGTTTTGGGTGTTTTCCTTCTTTTTGCACTGGTTTCTTCCCATCTTTTTGGGTTTATCCACCTGTCATCTGAGTAGTTGCTGACTTTTCAATTGGGTCTCTGAGTGGATGCCCAGATTGTTGATGATGAAGTATTTCTGTGACTTAGTTTTCCTTCTAACAGTCTAGCCCCTCTGCTGTACGACTGCTGAGGTCCACTCCAGGCCCTGCTTGTCTGGGGTACACCTGTAGCAGCTGTGGAACAGTGAGGGATGCTACCAGTTTCTTCTTCTGCTATCTTTGTCCCAGAATGATGCCCACCAAATGTCAGTCTGATCAGTCCTTTTTGAGGTGACTCTTTGGATATACAGGGGTCAGGGAGCTGCTTGAGGAGACGGTCTGTACTTTTCAGGAGCTCAAGTGCTGAGCTGTGAGCTCCATCGTTCATTCAGGGCTGTTAGGCAGGTGAGTTTAAGTTTGCTGCAGCAGAACTTATAAAACCCTTTTTTTTCCTCAGATGCTCTGTCTTGGAAAGTTAGGGCTTTCTTTATGAGTATCCGTTGCACTGTCCTGCCTAGCTAGGAGGCAGTCTAATCACTATTTGCCTGCCGAGGCTCTGCCCTGCTACTGCGGGGTCCGCCCTGTTGCCGTGGGCTGCGCCCTGCTGCCGTGGGCTCCACCCTGCTGTCATGGGCTCTGCCCTGTTGGCGCAGTCTCTCTATTATGGTGGGTTGCCTCGTCAATGGCAGGCTGCGTCAGCAATGGGAGTGTACCTCAGTAAGGGCGGAATGCCTTGGTAATGGCGGACGCCCCTCCCCCACTGAGCTGCATCATCCTGGATTCAGCTGTGCCTGCAGTGAAACTCTCAACCCCGAGCATTTCGAATTGCCGTTTTTTTTTGTCCCTGTGGGGCTGGGACCCACTGAGCCTGATAACCTGTCTCCCTGCCTCAGAGCCCTTTTTCTTTTCTTTTTTTTTAAGTTGAACGGTTGACTCTCTCCCAGGTGTTTCAGTCACCTGCTGATAGGGCACCGGGATCTGTGTGATTTCCCGTGCAGCGACCCACTGCACCGGCTCAAATGTCACTTTTCGGGAATCTCCTGGTCTGGCTCACTGTCCAAGTTCCGTTGAATCAGATGGATATGCTAATCTGCCCTCCCAAATCTCAGATTGCCAGTTTAACAGGGCACCCAGACCAGTGCATTTTGTGCAGAGTGCCCCTGCATTGCGGCGCTGGCAGAAACGGCCACACCAGCCAAAAGGGCTTCTCTGGCATCCCGTTTCTCTCCTACACCTGGGAATTTCCTTGTTCTGTGGGCAATAAAGATCCGCCTGGAAATGCGGCTTGGACTCACCCTCTGCGCCTTCACTGAGAGCTGCAATCCTGAGTTGTTCCTACTGTGCCATCTTCTTTTTTCACAATATCCTTTTTTTTTTTTTGAGATGGAGTTTTGCTCTTGTTACCCAGGCTGGAGTGCAATGGCACAATCTTGGCTCACCGCAACCTCTGCCTCCTGGGTTCAGGCAATTCTCCTGCCTCAGCCTCCTGAGTAGCTGGGATTAGAGGCACGCCCCACCGTGCCCAGCTAATTTTTTTTGTATTTTTAGTTGAGACGGGGTTTCACCACGTAGACCAGGATTGTCTCAATCTGTTGACCTTGTGATCCACCTGCCTCGGCCTCCCAAAGTGCTGGGATTACAGGCTTGAGCCACCGTGCCCGGCCTAGAAATTCTTAATGAAATTTAAGTCCTGGATGTACTGCAGACACATCCCAATAATCAGGGTGTCATGAACACCCTGTCTGTCCTCTGTAGCACTTCTAGAAAAGGCCTGCAACCTTCACTGAGTGAGGTCCAATTCTTCTTCTTCTTTTTTTTTTTTTTAGATGGAGTTTTCGCTTTTGTTACCCAGGCTGGAGTGCAATGGCACGATCTTGGCTCACCGTAACCTCCGCCTCCTGGGTTTAAGCAATTCTCCTGCCTCAGCCTCCCAAGTAGCTGGGATTACAGGCACACGCCACCATGCCCTGCTAATTCTTTTGTATTTTTAGTAGAGACGGGGTGTCACCATGTGGACCAAGATGGTCTCGATCTCTTGACCTGGCGATCCACCCGCCTCAGCCTCCCAAAGTGCTGGGATTACAGGTGTGAGCTACCGCACCCAGCCTGAGGTCCAATTCTTTCTTCAGACCTCATCAAGGCATTCTATGGATTTTTTTTTGGTGAAACTCTATTTTAAAAATGAAAAGAAAATGGTCTAAAATAAGTTAAACAATCCCAACACTGACAATGACATCAGCATTGACAATCACATTTCCAACAGCTTTGCTCCACTTTAGAAATGATCTCACTATAGTTTGTGCTATGCTTGAGTCAGATCCTAAGGAATTTTCTTGGCTTTCCATATCCTTTGAGTTAATAATTCACTTGTTTCAAAATGTAAGATTTTTCCTGTGGACAAATCTAATATAGCCCCACCTTCTCTCTGCTTTGGGAATATTTTTAAACAACACACTTTTATTTTTTAAAAGATATATTTACTTTCTTACATTTAGAACTAGTAATAGAGACCCCCTAAAAGAAAACAACCAGGATTGCTGAAGGCGGTGTCTCACACCTGTAATCCCAGCACTTTGGGAAGCCGAGGCAGGCAGATCACGAGGTCAGGAGTTCAACACCAGCCTGGCCAACATAGTAAAACCCCATCTCTACTAAAAATACAAAAAGTTAGCCAGGTGCAGTGGCAGGTGCTTGTAATCCCAGTTACTCAGGAGGCTGAGGCAGGAGAATCACTTGAACCCATGAGGTGGAGGTTGCAGTGAGCCAAGACTCTGCTATTGTACTCCATCCTGGGCAACAAAGCAAGATTCCATCTCAAAAAAGAAGGAAAGGAAGGGAAGGGAAGGGAAGGGGAGGGGAGAAAAGGAAAAGGAAGGAAAGGAATCGGGATATAACTATCAACATCAAACAGCAGAGGACATATGAAAATCTCTTTGCAGGGAGAGCTGTTAAAGATGCCTCCTGTTGGGGAGAAGCTAATGAATGAAGGTGCGCAATTTTTACATATTTTTGTCAAACACATTAAGAATAAAAAGAAAATGCCCTTTTTAAAAATGCAAAATGTCTTCAGTGAATTTTTACTAATCCTAATTGTCAGCAATTTAAAACGTTTGAATTGATAAACACCTACCTGGAAATCTGGGATGAACGTTAGGAAGTAGAAATTAAAACCAAAGGCCACTGTCCATTCACAGATTGCACACACTACATGATATACATAATCCTAATGGCAATAATAAAGAAATAGAATTTAGCCTCAAAAGATTCACTTTAATGTACATACTGAAATAACTCCGAAGAGGTTCGAAAAAAGGAAAAAGCTGTCCAGTGAGCATAAGTCAGAACTTTGAGGATATACGGTAATCACAACCACGTTACTGAGTGTCAGGGCACCTGCCCACTGAGAATGCAAAGGCAGGTTTTCCAAAGTTCTTTCTGGCTTCCACAAACTCTCGTTTTACGATTGAGTTTATCACTTCAAAAGGTAGACTAAGGACTACCAAATGGCTGAGACAGGGAAGCAAGTTTGGACTCAACAGAAGAAAGAACTTTCCATACAAGGCATGACTTGGTCTCCCTTTGCTGGGAATCCCTAACTGTAAGAGTACACTTAACAAGCGCTCTTGCCCCAATATTAAAAAAAAAAAAAACAAAAAAAACCCAACAAAACAAAAAATGCCAGGTGCAGTGGCTCATGCCTGTAATCCTAGCACTTTGGGAGGCCAAGGTGGGCGGATCACCTGAGGTCAGCAGTTCAAGACCAGCCTGGCCATCATGGTAAAACCCCATGTCTTTAAAAAAAAAAAAAGCACCCTTGTGGTTGTTCCAAAGAATTTGTGTTACCATCTAGACAACCTGGCTGACTAGCCCCCTAGGTTTCGTGTTTTCTCTGTTTATATAGAAATGTTCATTCAGAAAATAGTTCTCCTTAACCTCCTACATACAGCTACCAAGAAGATGCTAATAAAAAACATCCACATGTTAACTGTGTATCTTCGTGGAGGCAAAAATGAGAGAATGGAGGCCTGTAATCCCAGCACTTTGTAAGGCCGAGGCGGGTGGATCACTAGGTCAGGAGTTCGAGACCAACCTGACCAACATGGTGAAAACTTGTCTCTAAAAAAAAAAAAGAATGAGAGAATGGAGGCCAAGGAGAACAGCTTAAATCAGAAGTTCCAAACTCAGCTGCATATGGAGGCCAGAAAATTAATAATAATAAATAAAATTAATGGTTGTGAAAAGAGAGAGAAATTAGGGGGCTCACACCTCATCAGCTCAATTCCATGGGAAAATAGTACACTAGTGTTGCTTTCAGAGAGGTTTGAAAAAAAAAGTGTGTGTGTGTGTGTGTTGTCCATCTGTCTGTGTGTGTATGTGTGTGATATCTCCTGATTTTTCAGTGCTAGAAACTAATTTTACAAGTGTGAGCCAAGTACAGTGGCTCACACTTGTATTGTTAGCACTTTGGAAGGCTGAGGCAGGAGGATCACTTGAGCTCAGGAGTTGGAGACCAGCCTGTGCAACATAACAAGACAAGAAAGAATTAGCTGGGCATGGTGGCCTGCACGTGCAGCCCTAGCTACTTGGGAAGCTGAAGTGGGAAGATCACTTGAGCCCAGAGGGTAGACGTTGCAGTGAACCATGATTGTGTCACTCTACTCCAGCCTGGGTGACAGAGCAAGACTCTGTCTCAAAAATAATAGTAATAATAAAATAGAAATAAATAAAATTCTAAGTCAAAAATGCACATCTGCATTCTGACATTAGCTGACATGCAAATGAGGCCTGGGGACTGTCTGCATGCCTGTGTGATTTCCTGCTTCACTTTCTGCTCTGCTGTAGGCTAGAAGGGTGAGGAAACGTGCTGGATCACAGGGCAGTTCTTTTTTTTTTTGAGGCAGAGTCTCGCTCTGTCACCCAGGCTGGAGTGCAATGGCATGACCTCGGCTCACTGCAACCGCCGCCTCCTAGGTTCAAGCGATCCTCCTGCCTCAGCTTCCTGAGTAGCTGGGATTACAGGTGCTCAACCACACCCGGCTAATTTTTGTATTTTTAGTAGGGTTTTTCCATGTTGGTCAGGCTGCACAGGGCAATGCCACGGTGACAGCTGTTTTCTTTGATCCTGTGCCCATCCAGGCAGATCTGCTGGAGGCACACCAGGCCCGCAGACCACCACTCTTCACTCTGCCTGTTATGGTCACTTCCACCCACTGTTCTCATACTGGGTCACACTGAGAAGAACCTGACCAGCTTCCATTAGGAGGTAGAGAACAGAGGCTCCCTCCTGTTGGTGCCAGCACCAGGGGACCTGCCCCAACCCATATCATCTCTGAACAAAGAAGATGGCTTCTAAAAACAGAGGCAGAATTTTGGGAGGAATTTCTTAAGCATATTAATGAAAGTACATTGAACTAAGAGTCTGACTGCAGGCAAAGCCCTAATATCTTTTCTATGTGAAATTAGACAGTGAAATTAAAATTCTCACCCTCCCTACCAAGTAAGTCACTGCATATAAATGTGCTGCGAAAGCTGTAAAGCACTACACAGAAGTTTGGGGCAGTACCTAAATGATTATTCAGTGAATTAATGTAAAGGGATTTTTTTTACATCCTTCGATATTAGGAACAGAAGGAAATACAAGAATGCACAGTTATTTATGGGGTGAATAGAAAACCAAGAATTTTTCACATTTTTAAGGTAGAAAGTGGAATATAACAGATTTTTAATTGCCTGGGAGTATACTTCAATGAGCCCTACCCAGCAGCGGGTTTGTGGTAGAACCTCTCCCCCAAGTGGCTGAAAAGTAAAGTACACCTGAGCCACTGCTATGCGGTCCTGCTTTTGGAAAGAGGTTCTCACCAATGGAAAGGGGAACTGAACCCTCTTTACAGGATGGGGCTTATTACCCACACGTTAGGGGAAAGCCTAGGTCTAGACTAATTTGACCAATTTAATGTTTCATTTTAAAGAAGTTGCTTTTTTTTTTTGAGACGGAGTCTCCCTCTTGTTGCCAAGGCTGGAGAGCAGTAATGTGATCTTGGTTCACTTCAACCTCTGACTCCCATGTTCATGCGATTCTCCTGCCTCAGTCTCCCAGGTAGCTGAGATTACAGGTGTGAACCACCATACCTGTCCATTTTTTTTTAAATAGAGACGGGGTTTCATCATATTGGCCAGGCTAGTCTTGAACTCCTAACCTCAAGTGATCTGCCCGCCTCGGCCTCCTAAAGTGCTGGGATTACAGGCGTAAGCCACAGCACCTGGCCAAGGCCCACGTTTCTAACCTTGATATCTCATGATATCTGCAGAGTCATCAATTCTAACCAAACTCATCCACTTCCACTTACTAAATTATTTATCCCTGTTAGGGACCTTATTTCTGGTCAAGGAAATAAATTCTTTGGTTCACCTAAGATAAAATCCTCGAAGTTGTCTTTGATTCATCGTGCCACTTCATTCTCGTGTTAGTCATTTGCCAAAACCCACTGGATTTTCCCTATTTGAAATGCAAACTAGTAGAACTGCCTTCTCCTGGCCGTCCTCATGCCAAGCTCCCCAAACCATCCCAGACATTGCTTCTACCTAACACTCATCTAATAATACTCTTTCCATTTGCTTAACTGTTCAAAAGTCTTCAAAGTCTTACTCTGGTCATCTATGTCAAGTACCAGCCTCTCCTGCCTCTTACAGCCACTACTCCCTTGCACAGTTACCCCTGACTACATTGATTTCTCACTCTATCTTGAAATGAACTATCCACCACACTGGAGCTGGTGTTGTCCTCTCTACTTAACATTCCACACTCCCTTTGGCCACCAAATACCTTCATTCACACTGTCCCTCTACCCTCTTTTACTAAGCATAGATAGTTGAAATGTTTCAGAAAGCAATTAGAGGGCCGATTGTAGTGGCTCATGCCTATAATCCCAGAACTTTGGGAAGCCGAGGCCGGGGGATCACTTGAGGCCAGGAGCTCCAGACCAGCCTGGCCAATATGCTAAAAAACCCCATCTCTACTAAAAATATAAAAGTTAAATTAGACAGGCATAGTGGCGCATCCCTGTGGTCCCAGCTACTCAGGAGGCTGAGGCATGAGAATCGCTTGAACCCAGGAGGCAAATGTTGCAGTGAGCTGAGATCATGCCACTTCACTCCAGTCTGGGTGACAGAGCAAGGCTCTGTCTCAAAAAAAAAAAAAAAGCTGGGCATGGTGGTGGGTGCCTGTAGTCCCAGCTACTTGGAAGGCTGAGGCAGGAGAACTGCTTGAGCCTGGGAGGCAGAGGTTGCAGTGAGCTAAGATTCCACCACTGCACTCCAGCCTGGGCAACAGAGCAAGACTCTGTCTCAAAAAAAAAAAAAAAGAGAGAAATCAGGAACTTAAAATTTTGAAAATAATTCCAGGAAGCATTTGGAATTACTCTGCTAGCTAATTACTGGATCTGCACTACCAAATGATTGGATGGCAAATTGATACATACTGTGTTTACTTCACATTTTGCACCTTGTTCTAAAAAACAGCAGTGATCTTCCCCGGACCTAGCCTGGCCACAATCTCATGTAACCACATCCAACAGCCACATTCAGAACAACTTAAATGTTACCTTTTCGCTTGGGTCCCATTCCAGCTTGGTTGTGGAAACTAATGAAGCACAGACAATCACTAAAAAAGGTTAAGAAAACTACAGCACAAAACAGTTCCTTTAATGTTAAAACTAGATTGTTCTCCTAATGATAAAATCATTATACAGTGTTAAAATGTTAATACCAACATTTCTACAGTCAAACCAGTTACATTAGTTTCTTATAAACTCGAATTTTAAATTCGATTATGAGAGTTAAATTACAACATGGAAATAGCTTTGCAATACTTTTTTCAGTTTGTATAGCAACATTTATTAATATTTGCGGCTACATGTTGTACAACCTGGCATGTTTCTGGATTTTCCCACTTTAACTTAGCTAAACAGCTAGTTAAAATTTTGAAAATAATTCCACAATTTGGAATTTGGTCAAAATGACTAATGTAGCAGTCTAAAATGGCTCGTTTTGAGTACTTCCCACCCTAAATACTATTTTCTCTCTCTCTCTCTTTTTTTTTTTTTTGAGCTGGTGTCTTGCTCTGTCACCCTGGCTGGAGTGCAATTGTGTGATCTCAGCTCACTGCAATCTCTGCCTCCTGCATTCAAGAGGTCCTGCGTCAGCCTCCCTAGTAGTTGGGATTACAGGTGCCCACCACCATGCCTGGCTAATTTTTTTGTATTTTTAGTAGAGACAGGGTTTCACCATGATGGTCAGGCTGGTCTTCAACTCCTGACCTCCAGAGATCCACTGCCTCAGCCTCCCAAAGTCCTGGAATTACAGGGGTAGGCCACCTTGCCTGATCTAAAATACTATTTTCAAGGTAACAGCTTTCAAGAAAATTGTAAAATTCCAAAGTGCCAGGGCTCGTACACAAAAACAAGCTACAGAAACTCAAACTATTATCTTTAAAAAAAACAGACTTTTGTTGGGTAATTGGGTATAAGGTGAGCCCTTCCTTCCTGGCCTAAGAGCTGGCAAATCAAAGCGATTCACCCTGTATCAGACTTCAGGGATGAATGACAAACCCCTACAGTCCAGCCTAATAATACCAAGGGCTGAGGCTCCTCTCCTCCATGGGCAATGCTTTCTGCACAAAGCCAGTGATAACCATTTTGATTGACTTAGAATGCAAAAGAGAAAGCTAGAGAGAAATAGGATGCTCTAAAAAGTCTACAAAATATTAGAAATTCAAAGTGTTAATTAAGCCAAGCAAAGTTTAGAGCCTCCTCTGAATTCAGTCAGTGACACCTCTCTTAACCCGCACCCCTCATGAAACTGTGCAGAGTTTAACACTTCTGATTCTCAAAATAAAAGAAGTAGAGAGCACAGAAGATTCTCTGATCATTTCATTACCACGCTTCTGTTTCTGATAGTTTAAAAGCCTCTTAATTCTTTAGTTTATTTGTTCTTAGTTCCGTCTTCAGTTCACCAGGTACCATTCTGGTCAAGCGAGTGGGAGGAGGGAAAACTTGGTCTCAGCTCTCAGAAACATCACAACTTTGTTGGACCAGACCCAGGGAGTGTAACATGGTAGAGAAAAAAGAACTGGGTACAGCCATGACTCCAAGGGAAAATTATTAATTCAGAATGGAATGGGAAAAAGCTTCATTCAGTGAAACTTGATCTAAGTTGTGAAGTTTAAGGAGCTCTCCAGAGCAGCACCATCCCACAGAAATATTATGTGTAATCTTAAATTTTCTAATATTATAATTAACTAATTCACTTATTTATTTTTGAGGTGGAGTCTCGTTCTCTCACCCAGGCTGGAGTGCAGTGGCAGGTGCCTGCCACCATGCCCCGCTAATGTTTCTATTTTTAGTACAGATGGGGGTTTCACCATGTTGGCCAGGCTGGTTTCGAACTCCTAACCTCAAGTGATCCACCCATCTTAGCCTCCCAAATGCTGGAATTACAGGCATGAGCTACCGTGCCTGGCCTATTTAAAGATGCTTTCAATTATTTGCAATGAAATATAAATAACACACTAACATTTAAGACAGGAGACCTTTTCATATAGATGAATTCATTCAAGTTAATCTGGTATAGGGTCATAATCCCTCTCTGTCTGGGGCTGCTTCCCATTGGCATGGCTCCTAATAAGAACTTCCTAGAGGCCAGGTGCGGTGGCTCACGCCGGTAACCTCGGCACTTTGGGAGGCCAAGGCAGGTGGATCACTTGAGGTCAGGAGTTTGAGAGCAGCCTGGCCAACATAGAGAAACCCTGTCTCTACCAAAAATACAAAACTTGCTGGGCATGGTGGCAGGTGCCTGTAATCCCAGCTACTTGGGAGGCTGAGGCAGGAGAATTGCTTGAACCTGGGAGGTGGAGGCTGCGGTGAGCTGAGATCACGCCATTGCACTCCAGCCTAGGCAACAAGAGCGAAACTTCGTCTAAAAAAAAGAACTTCCTAGAAATGAGCATAATGAGTAAGTGAAACTCTGAAGCCTGAAATGCTGACTTTGCTAAAACTCTCTGAGTTTGATATCTGGGGATCTGTTTCCAAAGTTGGAAGCAAGGAAGGTTTCCTGCATGGAGAAACTTTACTTGTAACACTACAACCACTGTTATACATTTTACAACTAACACAAGATACAAATGTGAAGGAGATACATTCAAAGAGGAAGTGTGCTTTTAATCTATAAGCAGAACAAGGAATTTGAGAAGCAACTGTCTTAGGAACAAGGGTATATATTTTGTTGGTAAATGTCTCAGTTCCAGGATTTGGCTACTCTGTGCTTAGAAATTTTGTAATTAAAAATGTCCTTCCCTAAGATGGAAGAAAAACCAAAATCATTCTTAGACTTCACATTTTGTAGTTTCTATTTTAGAAAAGAAACACAAAGCTTAATATTTAGAAGCAAGTGATGTGTTTTCACTCAATCTTGCTCACTTTATACCGTAATTCAACCCAGACTAACAAAATTGCTGCTAACGCAGTTCCGATTTTCCTACCATCTGACATTAGTCATCACTTTTTTAATGACCCTGCAGCTTTCTCTGATATGACTACAGATGGTATTTTGAAAGATGGGGAATTCTGCATCTCTTTAAGACCACAGCTTTTTTTCCCCCTTTGTTAAATATTTCATTAAAGAAGAGAAAAAGGAAAAGAAAGAAAAAGCTTTCATTTCCTCTAAATCGGAATCTACAAGCATTCTAAATATATATTTTCATGTCTTTTCACATGGCTGAGTTAGAAAATAAAATGGATTTCATTTTGAAAATGAAATTAGTGACTTTAAAAAGAAAAGGCTAAATGTATTTTAATTTACTCAGTAATAAGTGACCTAGAGCTTTTTAAGAATCTCTTCACATGGACGAGTAAATCAAACTGTCTTGCCACCTACGTGCAGGGAGGGGGAAAGTTTAGCCTTGAGGCACTTCATGGGGCTATTCCTTTGAGTACAGTATCAATGTTTGGTGTCTTTAGCCAAGCACTACAAAGAAAAATAAATATTTTCACATGGTTCATGAAACTGGCCCTGTGAGAAGGAAAGTAAACAGACTGAAGTGTTCTTACCTTTCCCACCTTCTGTCACACCATTCTTTCCCTCAAAGAGACTTTCGATCTAACCAATGCTGAGACATTTTCTTAATGATCTACGCTTTTATCCCAATTGTTTTTCTGAAAAATGTGGAAACTTGGTTCTTATCTTTTTTTTTTTTTTTGGCTGGGGGGAAGGGAAGTGTCAAGCTTGGCCAAACTTCAGTCAAGCTCCTGATACTTCTCCTAGGTCCATCTGTGCACTTCCTTGTAAGATCCAGTTTTAGCAAAGAACCCTGGCTAAGTCAGTTTAGCAAGGACCCCACACCTTAATATCTGATCACCCTTGGTATCTGGTTGGGTTCCTCCTCCTCCACCCTTCCCAGATGATGTCTGATCACATGGCCAGTACTCAGCAAGAATCATGTTAGGTTGGTTTGGCCCAAATTCCCCTTATCCTTGAGGTTTCCTTTTAGTACTTTTCCATCCACTGACCTCATCCTACTCCTTGACTATAAATTCGCACTTGCCAATGCTGTATTCAGAGAGCCCAATCTCTCACCCCAAGCATCAGACCCCATTGCAGTGGTCCCTATAAAGTCTTCATTATCTTTCTTTAACAAGTGTCATTGAATGCTTTATTTCTTTAACAACCACAAACGTGAAAAAGGATACTGAGGACGATAGCTGCGCAACAAACGGCAGAGATGATGATCCGTATATGGCATATCCAGAGACTGTTCCACTGGGGACACGATTTGTAAGAGATGATAGACTGTAGGAGAGTGTATATGGCACCGCAGACAAAAGCCAAGAGGGCGCCCACATCATGAACCACTGGCGCATTTAACTCCTGGAGAAAAAGTCACCAATGTTTGTTACTCTGGATGAGTCTGTCAATGCTGAGCCGTGAGCACTCACTCACTCTAGGCTGCCTTGAGCCGTTGTTCAGCACAGATGCAGCACTCCTTGGAAAATGTGGCTGTCTGACCACCAGAAGAAAAGCCTTCCAGGTGCTAGAATGAATGCTAAATAGTTGGTTGCTCCACAGCGAACCTGGACTCATGGGACAAGGAAAGGAGGAGGTCTGCCTTAGAGGTGGGAGTGCTGAGGATGGTGGGCTTCAGAGCCTGGCACACCTGGATTAAAAGTCCTGACTCCACCATGAGGCTCTGTGACCTTAGTGCAAAACCTTGATTTCTGTATCTAAAAATGGGCATAATCATCCCCGTCTTGCATGTTTGCAATGAAGATTATAGGATACACATCATATAACATTTTCTTTTTCTTTTCCTTTTTTTTTTTTTTTTTTTTGAGACAGAGTTTCACTTTTGTTGCCCAGGCTGGAGTGCAGTGACATAATCTCTGCTCACTGCAACCTTTGCCACCCAAGTTCAAGAGATTCTCCTGCCTCAGCCTCCCAAGTAGCTAGGATTATAGGCACGTGCCACCATCCCAGCTAATTTTTGTATTTTTAGTAGAGAACTCTTGACCACAGGTGATCTGCTGGTCTTGACCTCCCAAAGTACTGGGATTACAGGCATGAGCCACTGCGCCAGGCCCATATAAAAATTTTGTGTAAAAGTATATGACTCAAAAAATGTAATAATGGGATCATATATTTATAATTTGAATAATTTTGAGCTATCAAAATGTCTTTGTAATTTTCACAACCTACTCATTGTTTGAGGATGTTATCTACTAAACTGAAAACACTCATTCCATATCTACCACATATACATCAGCAACAGTATAACTGTAAGCCCAACTTCGTAAAATTCATAATAATTGAGGGGTGGAATTTTCTAATAACATGCAGCATATAAATGTGCAGATTTTATGTATGGTGACAGAATCATTTTTCAGCTTGCAAAATGGAACTGCAATACTACGTTTTTCTCTTAAGCAATTTCTTTACATCGACGTTGGTGCTTTCTAAAATGAATGTGAATCCCATCTTTTATGACTTCCACTTGCCTTTTTTATTACAGAAATTTTCATTTGATGTAATCAATAAACTTTGGTATGATATGATTGAAAAAATAATAATAAAGTACATGACTCATTCCATGATGGTGCCAAGGGTGGTTTGGGGATTTTAGGCTCCCTGCTCCCTGATAATCCCTACTCATTCCTCCCAACGCACCCCAAATGAACACACTATCTAAGTAAAACCACTGCTTTTGCCATGCAAAAGCACTTTCTTCTATTTCTTCTTCTCCTTCTCCTTCTCCTTCTCCTTCTCCTTCTCCTCCTCCTCCTCCTCCTCCTCCTCCTCCTCCTCCTCCTCCTCCTCCTCCTCCTCCTCCTCCTCCTCCTCCTTCTCCTTCTTCTTCTTTTTTCTTCACTTTTTGGGTTTTTTTGAGACAGGGTCTCACTCTGTTGCCCAGGTGGGAGTGCAGTGGCATGATCATAGCTCACTGCAGCCTTGAACTCCTGGGCTCAAGGAATCCTTTCACCTCAGCCTCTCAAGTGGCTGGGACTACAGGCACATGCTACCCTGCCCAGTTATGGCTAATTTTTTTTTTCAAAGGCACCTTCTAAACAAGTTCCCTGTCCCCGACCATCCTGTAACCAGCCATTTCAACTAGAAGGCAGCCCCTATGCCAGTCTAGGAAAAAGTTGGAGCAGATCCTGTATACACTCAGAATAACCAACCAGGCACCTCACCTTCGGCTCCTTTCTCTCTCTCTTTTTTCTTTTCTTTTTTTAAATCTCACTCTGTTGCCCAAGCTGGAGTGCAATGGCAAAATCTTGGCTCACTGCAACCTCCATCGCCTCCTCCAAGCAATTCTTTTGCCCCAGCCTCCAGAATACCTGGGATTATAGGCATGCACCACCATGCTCAGCTTCTTCTATTTTCATAGAGACAAGGTTTCTCCATGTTGGCCAGGCTGGTCTCGAACTTCTGACCTCAGGTGATCTACCTGCCTCAACCTTCCAAAGTGCTGGGATTATAGGCATGAGCCTCCATGCCCGGCCTCAGCTCCTTTAAATGTGCACTGGGCACCATCCTTCCAGTAGAAGAACATTAAGATGGAACCACTGGGTCTTGGCTTAAATTTGAAAATGCAAGCTTTGCTAAGGGCAAGTTAAAGTGTTGTGCAGGAGAGCCTGGTTTTGGCCACAGCACCCCTTGGCCCCAGATCACCATGAACATGCTCTTCCCCCAGCTTTCCTCTGACCTAGGCCACCTTGGCTCCCCTAGCACCACAGTGTTTGCCATCCAGACAGTTCAGCCTCAACCTGGAGCACAAATGAACTGATATTAAATTGTCATTCTCCACATAAGAAAGGAAGATGCAGAAAAAAGACCTTTTAACTTATTTCTAAGGAAATATATTTTCAAGTATCAAACCTAGCAATAGGGAAGAAATTCATTACATGATTTCTATTATATTCAAATATGACCACATGGACACTCTGCAACACATCGTATAGTTTCTGTATACCTAAGATACCTAGCATGGGCCAGGTGCAGTAGCTCAAGCCTGTAATCCCAGCACTTTGGGAGACCAAGGCAGGAAGACTGCTTGAGCTCAGGAATTTGAGAGCAGCTTGCGCAACATAGCAAGTACTCATCTCCACTAAAATTTAAAAAAATCATGGCTGGGAGCAGTGGCTAATGCTTGTAATCCCAGCACTTTCAGAGGCCAACGCAGGTGGATTATGAGGTCAGGAGTTCGAGACCAGCCTGGGCAACATGGTGAAACCTCATCTCTGCTAAAAATACAAAAAATTAGCTGGGCATGGTGGCGTGTGCCTGTAATCCCAGCTACTCAGGAGGCTGAGGCAGGAGAATTGCCTGAACCCAGGAGGCGGAGGTTGCGGTGAGCCGAGATCACACCATTGCACTCTAGACTGGGTAACAAGAGCAAAATTCCATCTCAAAAAAAAACCCCTTCTCTGCCATGCATTACTTATCTCATCTTGGGCAAGTATTAACCTCTCTGGGCCTCCATTTCACCATGGATAAATAGGGAAAATAATAGAGCATATCTTACAAGGCTTTTACTATAATTGTAGGAATTAAAATATGGGATATTTCAATAAACGTATCACAGGAAAATTTCAGTAAATGTTTGCTGTTATGAAAAACAGAATGCATACTGCCATAAAAGATAAGGAAATGTCACCAAGAGCCTCCTCTTTGAACACCAGAAGGTTAAATGGTAGAATTGGTAAACACATGCAAATATTTTCATACCCTTAACAAAATCATCACAGTAGTTGAGGTGGCTCCCCCAACACATCAAACCACATCTATGAGAACATGGAGCAATGCAAAGCCCAAGGCCTCTTCTGAATCACACACTCTCACATAATTATGCAAATGTGCACCCCATTTCTCCCAAGTACAGAACTGACTTTCAAATTTTATTTGTTTTGAGATGGAGTCTTGCTCTGTTGCCCAGGCTGGAGTGCAAGTGGCACAATCTCAGCTCACTGCAACCTCCACCTCCTATGTTCAAGCGATTCTCCTGCCTCAGCCTCCTGAGTAGCTGGGATTACAGGTGCGTGCCACTGTGTCCAGCTAATTTTGTATTGTTAGTAGAGACGGGGTTTCACCATGTTGGCCCGGCTGAAAAATGTGCCCAAAGATTTCCCTTGAACTCCTGACCTCAGGATCCGCCTACCTTGGCTTCCCAAAGTGCTGGGATTACAGGCGTGAGCCACTGTGCCCCGCCCTAACTTTCAAATGTTAAAAGTTTGTTTCTAAAAAGTGGACTAACCCCCTTATTGTAAACTCATCAAGCATTTAATGGCTATAATGGCATAGTGTGCCTCTTGCATTCCTGCTACTCTCCTCAGACACATACACTCCACCGCTCCTGATAACTGAAAAGCTTCAGCTTTTACCTCAAAAGTGGCGGCAATGCTCATTCCCATACACCCCAACAATCCCAGAAATAAAGACACCAAGTTAAGAGCAGGAGTGCTGAAACAGTAGGTTCGATTCTTCTTCTCTACTATTTTATATCTTATGTATATTGTGGCCGCAGCTGAAAAAGAAGAGAACTTTGATGAATGTTCATAATTTGATTTCTTTAGAATGAAAAACAGAAGCAGCTTCATATCACATGTACTGATGACAAGTCTCCCCACTTTCCCACCCCTGTCCCTCCTGACTCCATCTTACTCTCTCCCCAACATGGACACACACACACACACACACAAACACACACACACACATCTTGGCTGTTGTCCTTTTCATGTAGATGCTATTATAGTACATGCATTATTCAGTGACTTGCTTTTTCTACTTAACAATGTAGCAGAGAGATCTTTTCATGTAAGTACAAACAGATTTACTTCATTGTTTTCGGGGGTCTCATGATGCTCTATGGTATGAGACACTATATTTATTTCATTGTTCTCCTAAAAATGAATTTCTACATCGTTTCCACATTTTTCCTGCTACAAACAACATTCACTGAATATCCTTGTATACAAATCTTTGGGCACACTTTCAGGTGTTTCTGAAAGATGGGTTCCTAGGAGCAATATTACTGGGTCAAAAAAACACGCACAATTAAAATGCTTAGAAACACCTCCAAATTGCTCCAAGGACAGTTAACAATTTAGACTCCCACTGGCAGAATTTGAGAGCAATGTTGTATGCCCTTGCCTTTTTATTCCTTTTAATCTGATAAATGAAAAATGCAACCTGTTGGTTTAATTTGCATTTCTCTGATGATTAGTGAGATTTAGCAATTTTCAGCATTTCTTCTTCTGAGAAATGCAGGTTTACAATTTTCTTTTTATTCTTCTGTTGGGCTTATCTATTTCTAATTTGTAGTTACTTTTTACACACTATGTCCATTAGTCTATTATCTGTTATAAACATTGCACATTTTTTATGCTCTGCTATTTGTCTTTTAACAATGTTTCTTGTATTTTCCATCATTTAGAAGTTTTAATTTTTATATACTCATATCAGTCCATGCTTCTGGGTTTTGTGTAAGTTTCTATTCCAAGGTTTAAAAATATTCTCCTGTAATTTAATTACCACATAGTTTTGCTTTTCATGTTTACTAAACTGCAATTGGTTCTTGTGTATGATGTGAGGAGGATAGTAAAGGTATTTTTTTCGAAACAGCAAGTCAATTAACCAAATATCATTTGTTGTAATTTGGCAATAAAATGTAGCTTCCATGAGAGCAGGGGTCTTGTCTGTTTTGTTTGCTGTTGTGACCTCGACACTAAGCATAAACAAGCAAAAGCCTATCATATAGTACGTTCTTTGTAAATGTTGAATAAATGAATAGTTATAATTTTTTATATGTGTTCCCTTTAACTCAGCAAATTTATAGAAAAACAAAAATATGCAAAGATATATTTAAAAGATGTTCACTTCAATACTGTAACTACAAAACACCAGAAATAGCCTAAATGTTGAACAATAGGGGACTAATTAAATAAATCATAATACATCCTTGCAAAGGATAGCATGCATGCATGGTAAGTATAAAGTATAAAGACATAGTATGGTGGCCATAATATATGCCTGAATTTTTAAAAAGCAGGCTAAAAACTAACAACTTATCATAATATTTTTTTTTTCTTTTGGCAGCAGGGTCTCACTCTGTCAACTGGGTGGGAGTGTAGTGCCGCAATGATGCAGCCTTGACCTCCTGGGCTCAGGCAATCCTCCCACCTTACCCTCCGAAGTAGTTGGGACTATAGGCACACATCACCACACCCAGCTAATTTCTTTCTTCTTTCTTTCTCTCTCTCTTTCTTTTCAATTTTTTGTAAAGATGGGATCTCACTACATTGCCCAGGCTGGTCTTGAACTCTTGGGCTCAATAGATCCTCCTGTTTCAGCCTCCCAAAATGCTAGAATCATAGGCATGAGCCACTGCACCTAGCTCACACAGACTATTTTAAATGAATATATTAATGTCACCTTCTGCTTTATTCAGAAGCAAACGCCATATTTATCACTTGCTGTGATAAAATAATCTCTCTGTTTTCCAAGTTGGGATTCATGGCAAAGATGGCATAAGAGGGCACTAGGATTGACAGACTCCATATTCCTACTTCCCCTTGCTCACCTCCAAAACCTTAGGACTACAAATGGGTGATGTGGTGAAACTTTGCCACTACCAAGTAGGACAAACAAATTCTAAAGATGCCAAGTCGCTAAGTAGGGTTAGCATCACTGTCCCTTCCCACCCTGTACCAGTACAGAGAAACAGAAAGCGCTGGTTATGCGATAGGCCCTTGGCAAACACATGATTGTTCCATGGGGGTAGATTACAGCAGGACTAAGAGAAAAAGCCCTGCATCTAACATCTATATACTTGGATCGCCTTATAGAAGACTGAGCCTTACATTAATTGTGCAATAGTTGTAATTACTGTGCATTACATTAATTGGCTCATGATGAGGTTGTATCCTATCAACTGCATCTCAGGTGTATCTGGGGAACTGAAAAGAAAAATCATACTATTTCTTGCTTCACCTTTTCCCTTTCTCTAACAGGTAAGATAGTGCCTTTGTCAATGGTTCTCAAACTTAGTGAGAATCCAAGTCCCTTGGAGTGCTTGTTTAGAAGGCACAGTCATGAACCCACACTCCCAAAGGTTCTGGCTGAGTAGTGTGGCATCTAGTTGCCTTCAGACCACACTTTGAGAAACTTCGCTTACGCACTGGGTGTCTTTGGTTTCCATAAGTGTCTTGAATATAAATCAACATTTTTAAAACCCAAATTACACTTAAAATCCATTCCAGAGTTTGGTATTTAAAACCACCTACAGAAAATCCTGTTATAAATTACTAAATAAAGTATAGTTCTCTAATAAAGCCATAATTTTGGATATCTTTTCATTTCAGTTTCTCAAAATAGCACAAAAATCTAGCTGCAAAGGTTGTGCTTTTTAAAAATTATACACCAGGCCGTGTGCAGTGGCTCACACCAATTATTTCAGCACTTTGAGAGGCCAAAGCAGGTAGATTACTTAAACCTAGGAGTTCAAGGCCAGCCTGGCAACATGGCAAAACCCCATCTCTACAAAAAATTAGCTAGGCATGGTGGTGTATGCCTGTAGTACCAGCTACTCTGGGGTGGGAGAATTGCCTGAGTTGGGGAGGTCAAGGTTGCGGTGAGCTGTGATCACACCACTGCACTCCAGACTGAACAACAGAGACCCTGTCTCAGAAAAAATAAATAAAATAAAATAAAATAAAATAAAAATTATACACAAAGTAAAAATAACACATCTGACTTCACTTGGAATTGTGAGCTTTTTGATTATTTATAATAATTATTGTGTACTTACCAAGAAGTGCAGAGATGTTCATCATAAATTTAAAAATATCACTCTCTGGAGGTATTGTTCCTGTATCGCTGGCAAAGAGAAGAAATATCCAAATTATTAGAGAGAAATTCAGTCCAGACCTCTGAGAAGACATGTAATTGGCAAGTTTTATATCGTGTTTCTTTTAGGTGTTCAGCCACTTTGAATTTCAATGATTTGGCCTGATTTTGTTCTAAAGTATTTTCATTTTGGCTCTAAAAGATCTAAAATTTATTTGTGTACCATGAGAGATTCCATAGTAAAAAGTCAGAAAATGTTTAAATTGAATGGTGTTGCCATTTCTCAAATGATCAAACCCATAACCTTGATATGTGTTCATTCTCAGTGGTAAATTGTGACTACCTTGAAAAAAAAAAACTGATCTAAAATCATGTTTGAAGCCAGGAGTGGTGGCTCACACCTGTCTGTAATCCCAGCACTTTGGGAGGCGGAGGTGGGAGGATCTCCTGAGGTGAGGAGTTCAAGACCACCCTGGCCAAGATGGTAAAACCCCACCTCTACTAAAAAAATACAAAAATTAGCCAGGCATGGTGGCAGGTGCCTGTAGTCCCAGCTACTCCAGAGGCTGAGACAGGAAAATCGCTTGAACTTGGGAGGCAGAGGTTATAGTGAGCTGAGTTGGCAGCACTGCATTCCAGCCTGGGTGACAAAGAGAGACTTGGTCTCAAAATAAAATAAAATCATGTTTGAAAATTCTAATATTGGGATGTTATGTAAACACATCACTTTATTTTCTAATAACAGATTTTATTATTTGCTGAAAATATTATGATAAAAAGCTGAGGAATATTACTGATCTCTAGGAGTATTTTATGGAAATAATAAGGTATCTAGGGTATACTAATTGTGGTAAATTATTTTAACAAAAATGTTGCTGTAAAACATTTTTCAGGTATAGTCTTTCAATTAATTAGTTGAGTTGGAAAATACTGTTTGACATGTTCTTTTTTTTAAAGATGGGGTTTCTCCATGATGGCCAGGCTGGTCTTGAACTCCTGACCTTAGGTGATCCACCCACCTTGGCCTCCCAAAGTGCTAGGATTACAGGCGTGAGCCACCATGCCTGGCGACATATTCTTTTTTTTTAATTGTTATTTTTTTTATTATTATTTTTTTTATTTTTATTTATTTTTATTTTTTATTGCATTTTAGGTTTTGGGGTACATGAGCAGAACATGCAAGACAGTTGCGTAGGTACCCACATGGCAGTGTGTTTTGTTTCCTTTCTCCCCTTCACCCACATTTGGCATTTCTCCCCAGGCTATCCCTCCCCACCTCCCCCTCCCACTGGCCCTCCCCTTTTCCCACCAATAGACCCCAGTGTTTAGTACTCCCCTCCCTGTGTCCATGTGTTCTCATTTTTCATCACCGGCCTATGAGTGAAAATATGCGGTGTTTCATTTTCTGTTCTTGTGTCAGTTTGCTGAGGATGATGTTCTCCAGATTCATCCATGTCCCTACAAACGACACAAACTCATCATTTCTGATTGCTGCATAATATTCCATGGTGTATATGTGCCACATTTTTCCAATCCAGTCTATTATCAATGGGCATTTGGGTTGATTCCAGGTCTTTGCTATTGTAAACAGTGCTGCACTGAACATTCATGTACATGTGTCCTTATAGTAGAACGATTTATAGTCCTTTGGATATATACCCAGTAATGGGATTGCTGGGTCAAATGGAATTTCTATTTCTAAGGCCTTGAGGAATCGCCACACTGACTTCCACAATGGTTGAACTAATTTACACTCCCACCAACAGTGTAAAAGTGTTCCTTTTTCTCCACATCCTCTCCAGCATCTGTTGTCTCCAGATTTTTTAATGATCGCCATTCTAACTGGCGTGAGATGGTATCTCAATGTGGTTTTGATTTGCATCTCTCTGATGACCAGTGACGATGAGCATTTTTTCATATGATTGTTGGCCTCATATATGTCTTCTTTCGTAAAGTATCTGTTCATATCCTTTGCCCACTTTTGAATGGGCTTGTTTGTTTTTTTCCTGTAAATCTGTTTGAGTTCTTTGTAAATTCTGGCTATCAGCCCTTTGTCAGATGGGTATACTGCAAAAATTTTTTCCCATTCTGTTGGTTGCCGATTCACTCTAGTGACTGTTTCTTTTGCCGTGCAGAAGCTGTGGAGTTTCATTAGGTCCCATTTGTCTATTTTGGCTTTTGTTGCCAATGCTTTTGGTGTTTTATATTTTTTTTTATTTTTTAGAGACAGGGTTTTGCTATGTTACCCAGGCTGGTTTTGAAGTCCTGAGCTCAAGGAATCCTCCTGCCTCAACCTCCCAAAGTGCTGGTGTGAGCGTCTGGCCAACAAAATCTATTTTCTATTAGTGCCAAGCTTTAACTTATTTTTTATTTTCAGGCGGCTCACATAGCAACTTTCCCACTTTGATGGCCAAAGAGCTGCCAACATGAAACAATGTGTACCCATTTTGAGTGTTTCTACATCTGTAAACAGCTCTGAAATTCAAGTAATGAAAAACTGATCACGTTGACAATGATGCACTTGGAAGCGTTTGAAGAATTCCACAAGGAGCCTGTGTGTGCAGAAAGCAGGAACTTTTTAAGTTTTGCGAACACTTCATATTTAAACTGGAGTATAAAGAAGTTAATAGGTCGGGCGTGGGGGCTTACACCTGTAATCCCAGCACTTTGGGAGGCCGAGGCAGGTAGATCACCTGAGGCCAGGAGTTCGAGACCAGCCTGACCAACATAGTGAAACCCTGTCTCTACTAAAAAATATAAAAATTAGTTGAGCATGGTGGCAGGCACCAGCAATCCCATCTACTCGGGAGGCTGAGGCAGGAGAATCGCTTGAACCCAGGATGCGGAAGTTGCAGTGAGCCAAGATCATATCATTACACTGGCCTGGGCAACAGACCCAGACTTCATCTCAAAAGAAAAAGAAAGAAAAGAAGAAGTTAATAGCCTCCCTTACAACAAATGCCTTTATTCCAAATTAATTCAATCTCAACATCACTGATAATTGCAAGAACCTGAAGGGTTTAGAATTCAGGCTGGGTGCAGTGGCTCACACCTATAATTCCAGCACTTTGGGAGGCTGAGGCAGGAAGATAACCTGAGCTCAGGAGTTCAAGACCAGCCTGGCCAACATGGTGAAACTCTGTTTCTACTAAAAATACAAAAATTAGCTGGGTGTGGTAGTGGGTGCTTGCAATCCCAGCTACTCAGGAGGCTGAGGCAGGAGAATCACTTGAACCCGGAGGCAAAGTTTGCAGTGAGCCGAGATCACACCACTGCCCTCCAGCCCAGGTGACAGAGTGAGACTCAGTCTCAAAAAAAAAAAGAAACTGAAGGGTTTAGAATTTAGCACTTTTCCCATGATAACCATTTTTCACGCTAAAGGAATGCTGAAGTGGAAGATGGCCTTCTGAGCACAATGCTGAATGGGCACGGAGGCAGGAATGGGAACCAAAAACGGAGGAAAAAGCAGAGGCAGCTCATTACCCTGGGCAGCACTTTTGCCAGACAATTAACTCTGCCAGGTAAATCAGGCCTTCCTGCCAAGGAACTTTTTAAGTTTTGCTAACACTTTATATTTAAACTGGAGTATAAAGAAGTTAATAGGGCCGGGTGTTGGTGGCTTACACCTGTAATCCCAGCACTTTGGGAGACTGAGGCAGGCAGACCATGAGGTTACAAGTTAAGATCAGCCTGGTAAACATAGTGAAACCCCATCTTTACTAAAAATACAAAAAAGTAATCAGGTGTGGTGGTGGGTGCCTGCAATCCCAGCTACTTGGGAGGCTGAGGCAGGAGAATCACTTGAACCCAAAAGGCAGAGATTGCAGTGAGCCAAGATCACGCCACTGTACTCTAGCCTGGGCAACAGTGGGAGACTTTGTCTCAAAAAATAAAAATAAATAAATAAATAAATAAATAAAGAATGATCAGGGCAGGTCTCATCACGATAATAACATTTAAATAAAGGAGGTACATGAAAAAGTCTGCAGGATGGTAACATTTGAACAAAGCAGGTAAGTGAAAAATAGCTGCAGGAAGAACACCTGGGAGAGGGAACAGCCACTGCAAACGTCTTGAGAAGGACGGGTACTTGATGCATTTAAGGCACAGGAAGGCCAGTGTGGTTAAAGGGAAGTACAAAGAAAAGGGGTAGAGGAGAGGAGGAGGTGATGAGCTAAGAGATAAAGTCAGCCTGGCAAGGGGGTGCACACTTTTAATCCCAAGTGCTCAGGAGGCTGAGGTGGGGGGATTGCTTGAGTTCTGGAGTTCAAGAGCAGCCTGGGCGACATAGCAAGACCCCATCTCAGAAAAACAACAACAACAACAACAACAAAAAACAGATAAGGTCGAATATTTCAGGGCCAGTGGATGAATATAGAGTTACTTCCATCACTTCTCTATGTTTGGTTCTTTTATTGTGTTGAGAAAGAGTCTCACTCAGTCACCCAGGCTGGAGTGCAGTGGCACAATCTCAGTTCACTACAACCTCTGCCTCCCAGGTTCACGTGATTCTCATGCCTCAGCCTCCCAAGTAGGTGGGACCACAGGCATGCACCACCACGCCCAGCTAATTTTTTGTATTTTTTAGTAGACACCACGCCCAGCCTTCTTCTCTCTGTGTGGTTCTTATCCACATCCTGCTGCTGCACCAAGGACTTGTGTTCTAGGAGGAGGCAGAGGCCATCCAGTACTCCAGCTGCTCAGGTAAGCAGACGGCAAACAACCCAAAAGCCCCAGGCACAAGGGAGCAATCAATATATGTGTTTGTTGTGGGTTGGCTGAGAACTCCTGGCAACAAGAGGGCAATTCCATGCCTTTTTCTCCTGTCATTCTGCTTTTCCTAAAGGCTTCCTTGTTAAATGTTAAGCCCCTTCCTTATAGTGTCTGTGGTTCACCTTGTCAGTTTATTTCCCCATTTCTGAATGTTTCCCATTTCAACTTCACCTTGGAGTGATGTTAATCACAGCTACATCAGACACCTCCACGAACATTCAAAACCTGCCTTCTACAGCCTGGCCAATGCATGTCACATATTACTTATTATCTGTCCTCAACTTTCAGATCCGGGACGGACATGGCTACTATTTTCTCAATAAGAAGCACTGCAGGTGGCCAGGCACGGTGGCTCACACCTGTAATCCCAGCACTTTGGGAGGTCAAGGCGGGTGGATCACCTGAGGTCAGGAGTTCAAGACCAGCCTGATCAACATGGTGAAACCCTGTCTCTACTAAAAAGAAAAAAAATTAGCCAAGCATGGTGGCTCATGCCTCTAATCCCAGCTACTCGGGAGGCTGAGACAGGACAATCACTTGAACCTGGGAGGCGGAGGTTGAAGTGAGCCCAGATAGTGCCATTGTACTCCAGCCCGGGCAACAAGAGCAAAACTCCATCTCCAAAAAAAAAGAAGAAGAAATGTGGGCTTGGTGTGGTGGCTCATGTTTGTAATCCCAGCACATTGGGAGGCTAAGGCAGGTGGATCATCTAAGTTCAGGAGTTTGAGACCAGCCTGGCCAACACAGTGAAATCCCATCTCTACTAAAAATACCAAAAAAAGGTGCTGGGCACAGTGGCTCCCACCTGTAATCCCAGCACTTTCAGAAGCCCAGGAGGGCAGATCATGAGGCCAGGAGTTCGAGACCAGCCTGGCCAACATGGTGAAACTTTGTCTCTACTAAAAATACAAAAATTAGCCAGGCGTGGTGGCACATGTTTGCTGTACCAGCTACTCCAGAGGCTGAGGCAGAAGAATCACATGAACCCTGAAGGCAGAGGTTGCAGTGAGCCAAGATCACACCACTGAACTCCAGCCTGGGCAACAGAGAGAGATCTGTCTCCAAAAAAATACAAAAATACAAAAAAGGCCAGGTGCAGTGGCTCACGCCTGTCTCCCAGCACTTTGGGAGGTCGAGGCAGGTGGATCACAAGGTCAGGAGTTTGAGACCAGCCTGACCAACATGGCGAAACTTTGTCTCTACTGAAAATACAAAAATTAGCCTAGTGTGGTGGCACGCGCCTGTAATCCCAGCTACTCAGGAGGCTGAGGTGGGAGAATCGCTTGAACCCGAAAGGCAGAGGTTGTAGTGAGCTGAGATTGTGCCACTACTCTCCAGTCTGGGTGAGACTCCATCTCAAAAAAAAAAAAAAAATTAATTGGGTATGGTGGCGTATGCCTGTAATTCTAGCTACTTGGGAGACTAAGGCAGGAGAGTTGCTTGAACCCAGGAGGAGGAGGTTGCAGTGAGCTGAGATCACACTATTGCACTCCAGCCTGGGCAACAGAGAGAGATGCCATCTCTACAACAACAACAAAAAATTAGCTGGGCATGGTGGTGTGTGCCTATCTACAGTCTCCAGCTATTTAGGAGGCTGAGGTAGGAGGATCAGTTGAGCCCAGGAGGTCGAGGGTGCAGTGAGCTTGATCCCACCACTGCATTCAGACTGGGCAACAGAATGAGACTTTGTCTGAAAAAAAAAATGCAGCACTTCAGGTAAGCAGGTCTTTACTTTTACATGAGTCTAGAGGGATCTATTCTGCCTTCGAAGCAAGATGATGGTGCTTAGGCCTGAGATGTGTCATGAGAAACCAAGCCCACATTTCTTCCAAGCATAATACCAGATGCAAGGCCTAGGCGTAGTGGCTCACACCTGTAATCCCAACACTTTGAGACTTTGGGAGGTCAAAGCAGGAGGATTGCTTGAGCCTAAGAGTTTAAGACCAGCCTGGGCAATACAATGAAACCTTGTCTCTACTGAAAATTTTTACAAATAATTTAAAAATGGAAAAAAACAAACAAACAAACAAAAAACCAAAAGGCCAGATGGGAAAGTCTCCTCGATACACAGAACATCTTCTTTCATAGGCAAAACCACCACCACTGCTGCAAATTTGCTTCTATGCAGTATTCTACCTATTGTTCTCTTTCTTGCATCTTTTAATGCTAGTTCCGCTGGGAACAGTGGCTCACACTTGTAATCCCAGCAGTTTGGGAGACCAAGGCAGGAGGATCGTTTGAGGTCAGGAGTTGGAGACCAGCCTGACCAACATAATAAAACTCTGTCTCTATTAAAAATACAGCCTCCCCCCACCCCCAAAATGACAAAAACCACAGAACATTGTTCACCAGACAGAATGGCTGCAGGAAAGAAGCCGCCCTACATTTTCTATCATAGCAGTAACAAAACTTGGGTGTCACCAACCTTATCATCTATTCACCAACCAATGCAGGTCCAGAGGGGTCACGGTACTTAGATAAGGATGGATGGTTCTAATGTGTAACGAATCCTGCCGCTATAAGAAAGGCACTACGCTGGAACCCACCTGAGGAGGATCACGCCATCGTTCCGTGCTCCAGGTACAGGCAGAGGTTCTCAGCGCCGCACCCGCTGCCTCCCTAAACACCCCAGGCTGCAGGGAGCACCTCTCCTCCTGCTCACACCTCGGCCTGACGGCGGGACGCCCCCAGCTGGGTCCGGACGCCTTCCCTCCACCTCGGCAGCGCTCCCTGTGGCGCCTGCGCCTGCTCCCGGAGCCCTGGCGCCCACCCTGCCACTCACCTGATGCAGGGCAGGAAGGGGTTGACGTGCCCGGAGAGCGCGGCCACCATATAGGAGGTGAACAAGGTGGCTGACGACCAGGTCACCAAGAGGAAGGGGAGGAAAGCCATTCTCCTGAGGAAGCACAGCATCGTGCCGCCGCCTCTGCGGATAGAGCGCTGCTCTCAGCGGGGCCGGGCACCAGGTTGCTCCAGGTTGCTCCGGGCTGCCTGTAGGCGGCGGCCGGGCGCGGACGGTCACGGGCGTCGGGACAGGAAGACTCCGCGACGGGTGGGGCAGGCCCAGCCTGGGAGGTAGGGGAAGCGCGGAGAGCAGAGCGAGGCGGCGGGCGGCGGGTGGCAAGGTGGCGGGGGGCGGGCGGCGGACGGTTAGGCGGCAGGCGGCGAGGCGGCCGGCGACTAGGCGGCAGGGCCAGGGTGAGTGGGGCGCGGGAGGCCCGGGCTTGTTGCGAAAGCAGTGAAGCCACAAAGCTGCCCGGCAGGGTCGGAGGCGCGCAGCGACTTCCCTGGGGACCGGATGACAGAGCCGCTGGGGTCCACTTGCTTTCGCTTTTTTTTTGAGACGGGAGTTTCGCTCTTGTTACCCAGGCTGGAGTGCAATGGCGCGATCTCGGCTCACCGCAACCTCCGCCTCCTGGGTTCAGGCAATTCTCCTGCCTCAGCCTCCTGAGTAGCTGGGATTACAGGCACGCGCCACCGTGCCCAGCTAATTTTTTGTATTTTCAGTAGAGACGGGGTTTCACCATGTTGACCAGGATGGTCTCGCTCTCTTGACCTCTTGATCCACCCACCTTGGCCTCCCAAAGTGCTGAGATTACAGGTGTGAGCCACCGCGCCCGGCCCTCAACATCCTTTCATGATAAAAACTCAACAAACTATATTTAGAAGTAATATATCTCAACATAATAAAGACCATGTATAGCAAAACCACAGCTAAGATTCATGGTAAATAGGAAAAAAAAAAAAAAATGGAACGCTGTCATCTAAAATCTAGAACAAGACAAGGATGCTCACTCTTACCATTTCTATTCAACATAGTTTTGAAAGTCTTAGCCAAAGGATTTAAGCAAGAGAAAGAAATAAAAGGCATACGAACAGTAAAGGAAGAAGTTAAATTACTGCTGTTTGCAGATGATTTCATCTTACATTTATATGACTCAAAATAAAACACTGAAAAAAATCGTTAGCACTAATAAACAAATTCAATAAAGATGTAAAACACAAAATTAACATGCAAAAATCTGTGGTGTTTCTATGTATTAACAGTAAACTATCAGTAGCTACAAAATAAATTAGGAATAAAATTAACCAAGCTGGTGAAAGATCTCTACACTGAAACTATAAAACATTTATGAAAGAAATTGAAAAAGACACAAATAAAAGTCATCCATGTGATTGAGTAGAAGAACTAATATTGTTAAAATATTTATATTCCCCAAAGCCATCTACAGATTTAATGCAATTTCTATCAAAATAGCAGTGACATTTTTCACAAAAAGTAGCAAAAAACAATCCTAAAACTTATATGGAACAACAAAAGCCACTGAATTGCCAAAGCAATCTTGAAAAAAGAGAACAAAGCTAGTGGCATCACATTACTTGACTTCAAAACATCCTATAAAGTTATAGTACATTAAATTCAATAAAATATTAAAAATATTATTCATCATGATCTAGTGAGATTCTCCCAGGGATGCAAGGATGTCTGAAAACAGCGTGGTAGTGATCTAAAAAGACACAGAGGCCGATGAAACAGAATAGAAATCCCATAAATAAATTCATGTTTACAGCCAATTATTATCTCCAAAAGGTTCCAAAAAACACAATGAGGAAAGAATAGTCTCTTCAATAAATGGTTCTGGGAAAATTGGATCTCCATATGCAGAAGAATAAAGTTAGACCCTTATCAGACATTATATGTAAAATCAACCCAAAATGAATTTGAAATTTAAATATATAACCTGAAACTACAAAACTACTAGAAGAAATTATAGGTGGAATGCTCCATGACATTGGTATGGGCAATAATTTTTTGGATCTGACCTTAAAAGCACAGAAAACAAAAACAAAAATAGAAAAATGAAATTACATCAAGCAAAAATCTTTAGCACAGCAACGAAAACAATCAAGGGTTTAGAGATTATCTACAGAATGAGAGAAAATATCTGCAAAATATATATCAGATAAGTGAATATCCTAAATATATTAGAATTCTGATGACCCAATACAAGAAAAACAAATAATTAAAAATGGATAAAGGACCTCAGTGGACATTTCTAAAATAAAGCTATACAGATGGCCAACAGATATATGAGAAATGCTCAACATACCTAATCATCAAGGAAATGCAAATTGAAACCATGATGAGGTATCACCTCATTATTGTTAGAATGGTTGTTATCAAAAACATAAAAAATAAGTATTAGGAAAGGATGTGGAGAAAAGAGACATTTTCACACTGTTGATAGAAATGTAAATTAGTACAGCCGCTAAGGAAAGCAGTATAGAAGTTCCTCAAAAAATTAAAACTGGAATTACCACGTGATCTAACAATACCACTAATGGGTATAAATCCAAAGGATATAAAATCAGTATGTAGAGAAACATCTACACTCCAGTTAGTACTGTTATTTCAGCAGTACTAACAATAGCCAAGATTTGGAATCAATTTATGTGTCCACCAGCAGATGAATGGATAAAGTAAATGTGGTAACACATGGAATACGAGTCAGCCACAAAAAGAAGGAAATTCGGTCATTTGTAACAACATGGATGAAACTGGAAGAAAAGTTAAATACACCAGACACAGAAAAAGAAATATCACAAGACCTCACTTATGTGTGGAATCTAAAAACGTTGATCTCATAGAAACAGATAATAGAATAGTGTTTATCAGAGGATGCAGAAGTTGTACCAGACAGGACCCGGGGGAGAAGATGGTCAAAGGATACAAAATTGCAGTTAGATAGAAGAAATAAATTCAAGAGATATGTTATACAGCATAATGACTATAGCATATGAAGACACACTGAAGAATGCAAACATTAACTGTTTTCACCACAAAAGTAATAATTACATGAGGTAATGTATATGTTAACTAGATTTTATCATTCTACAATGTATATGTCCCATAAGCCATCTTTTTGCATATTAAATACACAAAATTTTATCTTTGAAAAACAAAAGACACTTGTGAAATAAATTAAGAAAAAAATTGTTGGAGAAAAGAAATTTTGAACAATGTGGTAAATGTGCATGAAAGATTTTTCCTCCTACTTAGAACTGCAGAGATACGCAAAACTCAATCAGAGCCATATTTACATTTGAAAGATCTTATTTCTGGCAATTTCCAGTACATACAAAATTATTCAATACTAATTAGGAACAGAAATTATAAAGGCAGTTGACAGACAGACCCTAATTCTGGATTATTATAACAAAAATTGTATTTTTAAGGAGAAATTTCCAAGATAAAGCATATACAATACATAGTGAGCATTTTCTTTGTATCAACAAAGGAGAGCTAAGCTTACAGCACAGGTTAGTGATGAGAGAAAATAAAGAAAATTGATCAAAATAGGCTAAGGGATTCACCAGATAAGAAAGATGAAAACTCATCATCAAACCACTTAAAACTATTTACGATCTCTAAATTGTCATTTTAGTAGATTTTGCATGGCTGATTTCAGAGTCTAGGTTTTATCTAGTCCTCTTTAAGAGCCTTATCCACAATAGATAACTAGCTATATGGCCTTAGCTAAATTGCTTTACCTATGTGTGCTTCAGTTTCTTCATCTGTAAAATATTACTCAGTATACTGGGACAAAAGCTGGCTCCCAAGGTGTAGTGAGGGTTTGGTAAGCTAATATTTGTAAAGCACTTAGAACAGCATCTGGCACAACATAAGCATTACATAAGCATGTGCTGTCATAATCTTTAAAACACTGGGAAAAAGAATCCTTTCATTAATGCACGAATACATTAACAAATGTATCAACCAGTGTTTTGATTATCAATTAGGTGTCCAGCACCATGTAAGATTCTGAGGATGAAGCACTGCCAGGTATAGTCCATGTAGTCAAAGAGTTTCAGTCTAATGTGGGTTAGACAGACAACAAAGGAATGCCGATACCATGTGAGAGCACAGCATCATATATAAAATGGAAATAGTGAAAATGTCTACTAAAATTGGCATGAAGTTTCAATATAATTCCTAAAAATACTTTAGAGCAGTAATTAGCACAGAGTAAGGACATAATAGAAGTTAGCTCTTACTCTTGTGATGTAGTCTTCTTTTCATGCTTATTTTTTGACTAGCTCATGAGATCCCTCCAGAAAAAAAAATCTTAATGAACATTTAACATTTTTGAACAGTAAATGCTTGATATTCTTAATTCTAAATATATGAAAATGAATAATACAAAGTTCTTGCTCTCAAGAGACAAACTTACATACTTTAAGTTACAAGATAATATGGTAAACACAGTTACAGTGATATAAGCAACAAACTCTAGAAATGTAGAGATGGGGCAACTCTCCCCCAGGAGACAAGAGGTTTCAAAGGATTTATTACCTCATCTGGCTCTTAAAATGAAGGAAGGGTTTTTATAGCTAATGAGTGGTATTGAATGAACCATGTAATGAAAGAATATGATTAATCTAGATGTTTTAGGAAAGGTAATAGAAAGAAAAAATAATAAACAGGAGGGCAGGAATGTGGGTTAGCCCCACATGGGGTCCAAGCTCTGAGATAAGTTGTACTTCAAGGTAAAAAATTTAGATTGTGTACAGAGAGCAATGTGAAGCATTGGAGCAATGTCCTTGACCTTGCTTGCTTGTTGCATCCCCTTTTTGCTTAAGCTTCGTGGGTTATAATCTCCATACAGTAAGCTTTGTTTTAAAGAAGAGAACTCTGAAGGATCATGTGTTTGAGTGTTGTATAGGCTGATGCCGGGAACTGATTTTAGTCTTCAGTATTGTGCTTTAGAAACAAGAGCAAAACTCCATCTAAAAAAAAAAAAAAAAGAAACACTATGTGCTCTATAAACATTTTTGGAGCTAGATTTAGCTTAATCTGAAACAGTTTCTTACTGAACTCACATAAAAATCACTTGTG